ACGTGTGTCTTATGGCAAGTGTTGTGAGTCTATGGTTTGGATTCTCTGTCATTATGTTTACGACATTTATATCTGAAATGTTTATTAAAATTAAAACCTATTATATCTTAAAATTTTCAACCCATTATAACATATCACCTAAGCTGTATTTTAATAATATTAAGGTATTACATCACAGTACAAATAATTAATTTAGTGTAAAATATGCAATCTACCCATAAAATGTATTTTATAATATAATTTGTTTTTATGATATACAATAGTTTAATTTGTATAATATAATGAAATAAATTGAATTATGTCAATGTCTAATTATTCATGGCTGACGTAAATAAACTTTTTCTAAACATACTATATTTATACTGATTTTTTTATAAGCATCAAGATATGAATTATTTATATAAGGGGCCACACAAGTACTGATACTATGCACATAGTGTCAAGGCAATCTGTACAAGGAAGTGTAAGGGTCAGGTTGATAGTGCCTAGTTTAAATATATACAATATAATCTAAATTAATCATTTTTGTTGCCATTCAATACAGATAGTGATCTAAATATACTTTTAAAATTTGAATGTAATTTATAAATAATATTCACAAATAAAAATATTTAAATTTCTAGAAAGCCCCATGTAACACTTTTATTACATATAACTAATATATTTTCAAAGCTTTTACAATTGAATCAGTCAATGTATTGTAATAATTTTAATGGTATTAATTTGTTTGTGAGAAAAATTCGTGTCCATATTAGTTTAAATTAAAATGACTAACCAAAATAATATTTTGATGATAATAATCAATAATATTTTTTTTAAAGAATACATAGAATAAGATGTTTTAATTTATTATGAAGTTATAAAATTTTAGGTTAATTAAAATTCAAGTAAATATATTCAAAATGTTTGTTGTCACGAAATAATATTTATAAGTAAATATTTTTAGCATATTAAATTTTATTTACAACTATATATACAGTACGTGTTAGTACTCTATTTACACTATTTAATTAATATTCAGAAAATATGTATACTATATAAATGCAAATATGACATAATAATTTAATTAATATATAAGGTAGCAGTATTTAATAATATAATGTATTCTAACTTGTATAATATTTTATAACTACAAATGTATGCAAGTACAGTACTTATAACTATTAGATACCAAAACTGTAAACTTATATTTGAAAATAATAAAAATGAAGTTATTATCATTTAAGAATATATTTATATTATTACCCAGACTATTATGTTTAATGGGATGTATGTATCAAACGTATAAAATAAGTTTATTATATTTTTTGTACGAGACCACTACTAATGTTAAGTACGAATCTAATCATGATGAAATAACATATACTGGAATAACACTATGTATTTTTAAACATTCAATATATCAAGACAATTTGTATAATTTGACTTCATCCATACAATCAACAAGACAAAAATTTAATCATCATTCAATCAGTCAACAATTTGCATTGCTAAAGTCACCAGAGTCATTTTACAGTAGTATTGTATTTGGCACTCATGGACGTGATTTAAATAGTCTTTCCCATATTAAGTCTATGGAGTCTATAAACATTTGGAATTACTGCCTAACATTATATCCAATGCGGGCTAACTTATCATATAATTTTCAGGGTAACTATTATGGTGATAAACGACAAACTATTAGTGTTTTAATTTTGGATTTAAAACTTAAAAATATTACCATGTTTAAACATAATAGATTTGAATTTACAATTCATTCACAGCACCAATCAATTACTGGCAGCCAGGATAAAAATAGCCAGTCTATTGGGATTGTAAATAATACAGTAGTACGTATAAATTTTAAACAAAATATAGTTATTAATAAGCTTGGACATAATAATTATAAATGTTTAAGTAATGGTCAATCGCGTGATATGTGTACAGTTGAGTGCACCCAGAAGTTGCAATATCAAAATAATTTTACCATGGATCCATATTATATGATATATAAAAATAATATCAAATATAATAATGACCAGGCCCATTTTTCAAAAAATTTTAGCTTTAAATTTAGAGACAAATGTGAGGTTGAATGCAGTGATAAACTAGAATGTATTCAACATTATTATACAGTTCATAAGACTATAAATAAAAATGTGTCCGGTGTTTCCTATAGACTTATCATTGACTTTCCCACTGAACCCACACTTATATACGAGATATCATTGAAAATGTCTTTTGAAGAGTATTTTACTTTTATCGGTGGAGTACTCAGTGTTTGGTTTGGATTTTCAGTGCTTATGTTCACTAAATTAATCTCGCAACTTTTAAATAAATACAAAATTTTTAATTATTTTACTAATAATAACCCTCTTATTATCAATAAATTATTTATAAATAAAACAAATGTCCATAAAATACGTATACAACCAAATGTAAATTAATCATAATTTTACAATTTATATTTACCAAATAACAATAATTATTTAATAAACAAAAGAGATTTAATGTAAATACCAAGAGTACACCAATAATAAATTTATTTTTATGTTGTAATTAGTTTAATGTATTAAGAATAATATTTATGGATTATTGTTAAAATAACTGTTTGTAAAACATAGGAACTTCATATTTTGTGTAATTTTATTTTTAAAATAATAAGTTAATATTTCTGAAATAAATATTATGAAATGTATTTTTAATATATTTGATATTTATAATTAAAGTATTTAGTTAAATTAGCTTAATATTTGTAATATACTGTACATTAATAAATTAATTATTCATAATATATAAATATTTAAGATATATTGACCGCATTTTGATTTAAATAATTGATTTATATATCAATTATGGAATTATTTCAAAACCTAATTTATATTATTAATATATTTTGTATATTGTTACAACATGCTAAAATTAATATAACTTTTTAATATACATAACAATATTTCATAACATATCCATATAACCATAATAGCTAATTAACTATTAAAATTAAATTATTTATTCATATATACATTTTATGTAATATTGATTTCAATTCACCTGACACAAATCAAAGCAATAAACAAAAATATGTTATATATTTCAATATCAATAGCAATGTACATTAAAAATATTTATATTTAACAAAACCTTCAAATGTTTTAAAAGTATGGATCTAATATTATCTAACAAAATTTCAATTTTGTACAGGGTGCTATGTTTAATTGGTTGTGTGTATCAAACGTATAAAATATGTTCATTATACTTTTTCTACGATACCACTACTAATGTCAAGTACGAGAATAATTTAGCTAAAATAACGTACCCGGCTATTTCAATATGCGTGGCTAAAAACTTAGTATTTAACACGGTCAAGTTAAATAATGTGTCTAATATTAATGTTCACGATTTTAGTGGATTACCAATTGGACGACAATTTGAATTTATAAATTCACCTAACACATTCATTGCTTGTAATGTATCAGGAACACATATGGATTTTAATTGCCTATCAAGTAAAAGTTACGTTGAATCAATCAGTAAAGCTCATTATTGCCTGACACTATTTCCCATGCTTGCTAATTTAACATACGATATTAATGGCAAGTACCATGGTGATAAATCCAAAAAACTTATTAGAACTGTGACTGTTGATTTAAATTTTGGCAATGTAACCTTGGATAAATCAACTAGTAAAACTATGCATTTTCATATACACTCGCAGCACCAATTAATCTACCGTAACCAATTGAAAACTAGTCATAAAATTAACTTTTCGCAGCATAATGTTATCAATTATATTAAATTTCAACAAAATATCGTGAGATATAAACAAGGTGCTAATTATAATAGGTGTATCAACGATGGTGAATCGCTTGAAACGTGTATTTATAAATGTTGCAATAAAATGCAGCTTGACAAAAATTCAACATTAGATCAAGTGGTGTTAGTTTATAAAAATGAACAAAAGTATCACGATAAAACGTTTTATGATATACGTGATCTTGGTGATAAATATGAGTCACAATGCGACAGTGAATGCAGCGATAGAGTGGAATGCATTCAATATTACTATAATATTGAGAAAACTATTTCTACAAAAAATTCTGGTATTTCCTATAGACTTAACATTGAGTTGCCGACAAAACCCACACTAATATACGAGATATCATTGAAAATGTCTTTCGAAGAGTTCATTACTTTCATCGGCGGTGTACTCAGTGTTTGGTTTGGATTCTCAATACTAATGTTCACTAATATTTGTCACGAAATGTTCACTAAACTTAAAATCAAAAATCAAGTGAAAGTTTTTAATTGTAATACTAATAATAATAATTTAATAAATATGTCAGTAATCAACCCAAACGTATATACAAGGCAACGTATTGGCTTAAATAAAAAATATAATAATTTTATTTAGGATTAGTGATTTTTTAAACAGAAATATTCAGGGTATTTATTAATCCTAAATTGATAGCTATAAAATACAGTGCCTTGGTAATGAATGTTTAATTAACAGCATTTAATATACAGTTTTTTGTGTGAAATAACTGCAACCTTATTAGTTATCTAATCAATATTTTATATTTATCTTAATGACATTTACCAATTACTTACTTATTTATTAATACAATTGTACTCAACAAAAATTATTACTGAACATGTACTTATACAAGTTACTTTACTTGTCATTAATATAATTTATATTCTATATGACAATCAACAATAGAATATTATTTAATTCATACAAAAATGCGCATATTTATAATATTACAATTGTGCATGCTATACATTAATTGTAGCCCTTTATTACAAAACCTTGGGGAACCTTCAAATGGCAAAACATGGGTCGTATTATGTGCCAGTGCTAATGATTGGGAAAATTACAGTATGCAGGTTTGTATCATGAACATTAACAAAATATAATATTATATCAAACTTATAAAATTTTCTATAATTTCTAGGCTACGGTATACCACACGTATCAAGTAATCCGTAAACACGGTATACCCGATGAAAACATAATAGTCATGCACTACGACGATATCGCCTACCACCCTAAAAATCCTACCCCGGGTATTATTGTTAACAGGGTCAATGGGTCCGATGTTTATAAGGGTGTACCCAAACATTATACCGGCGCTGACGTTACACCAGAGGTAATGACAACCTAAAATTTATAAAGTGAGGTAGGTAATGTTCAAAAACCTATTTATACAGAACTTTTTAGGTGTACTCCGTGGGGACCAGGAGTTGAGTAAAAGGGGTAAAAAGGTTATCCAAAGTGGACCCGATGACCGTATATTTGTTTTTCTTGAGGACCATGGTCAAAAAGGTTTATATCATGCTTACTTATGATTTAATTAGTAATATATTTTATATTGTATTATATTTTGTATATTATATTATCGGGTAGAGTTTGTACTGTTCCCTAACAGTGTACTACACGCCAAGGATTTAAATGACGTGCTCATCAATATGAGCAAGGACAATAAATTTGAATCGCTTATGTTTTACTTGGACGCTTGTTATTCAGGTATTTTGGTTTAAAAGTTATTATTAAATTCAATTTTATATGTTTAATATGATATTAAATAATAATAATATGTTTCTAAAATTTTCTATTATTATTATTATTATCAGGGTCAATGTTCGCTAATTATTTACCTAAAAATATCGGTGTCTATGCCATGACATCAACTAATCCTGATGAGGAGGGTGCTCAAAGTTATTGTGTACAACCTTACGATACCTGCTTAAGTATGATCATTAGTATTTTAGTTTTAAATAATTTATGATTGGTAATTGCTGATTGATTAGGTACCAGTTTTGTGGATTATTGGCTTGCTGATAGCGATTACACTGATTATAATTACATAAAGCTAAATGAGCAATATGACTTGATAAAAGTAAAACTACATTATCATACGAAGCAGACCCCGATGCAATATGGAAATTTATTATTGGGTACTTGGCAAGTAGTTGCCAATTATCTTGGTAAATAATAGATTTTTTAATATATTAAAAAGTGTGCATTATTTTGTTAATTTATATTATAGGAAGTGAACATATTATACCGCCATCAACATTTATAACTCATCATGATACTAGTTCAGTATTAAAATCTGAAGTCCCGGTATATTTGTTAGAAAATAAAATTAAAGAGTCTAATAACCAAGACACAAAACAAAAGTATTTAAAAATTACTTTTATTTTTCTAACTATAAATAATATTTTATTTTCAATATTTATAGATATGTCACAGAATTGGAGGGTTTGTTAAGCCGTCGGAAACTAATGGATAAACAGATCGAGGAATACGTGAATGAATTGCCGGCAATTGACGCCAATATCGCATTGAATGGCAAACTAGAGCTCAATCACAGAGAATGCTATCGAAAACTAATCGACACTTTCAATGATAATTGTTATACATTGGGACAGGTATTAAAATAATCTAATATTATTAATAAAATTTGTTTAACATTAATTTAATCTAAACACAGAATCCATACGTGTTGTCAAAACTGCAAATATTTGTGAATATTTGCGAACAAATGCGTGACTCGAGTGATGCGGACATTGCTGTCAACCGATTGATACAATATTGCAATAAAACTGTTGAAAAGGATGATAAAATGATTTGAATATTTTTATTATGATATTTGAAATATTTCAGAAATAATGTAATGTTTGAATATTAATTATTAGTACAGTATTATTGATTTTATAATAATAAAATTAACTTTTATAAAACAGTCGCATGAAAACGATTGTTTGTTATATTTTAATATTTATCATTTTCATAACGATTTATCGTACTGTACATTTAACAAATTAAATTTTTTCATTTTTATTCTATTAAATAATACAGATACAATTGTGTATTAAATTTATTATAATCTTATAATTTATAATCACTTTTATGATAATTTATAATTTATTAATATTTTGTTTATTATTTGCAAATATTTTATATGTATTATGCTTAAACAGTTTGCGAGGTAATTTACTCAAAATATAGGATGCGTTTATATTTTAAAAATACTTTTAGAAAACTCTGTACCCATAATGATCAATTAATTAGAACTACATTGAATTCAAAAAATTAAATAATGTTTTTAAAATAAATTCTTTAAATATAATAGTTAATACTTTTTATTTTCTTTGATTTACAACTTAAAGGTGTATTAATTAATTAAACAATTTGTGAATATTTTGTGTCAACATTTTGATGGCAGTGTTGTATCAATCGGTTGACAGCAATGTCCGCATCACTCGAGTCATGCATTTGTTCGCAAATATTCACAAAAATGTTTAGTTTTCTGAACAGATATGGATTCTGTGAATAAAATTAATAAAAAAAACTTTTTATATTAATTAATATTTAATTATTTATATAGAGTACTTGATTCAAATTAAAGCAGTTCTCATGCAAAATGTCCACTAGTTGTCGATAACAGTATCTATTATTGAGCTCTTGTTTCGTATGGAGTATAGCATTGGTTGCGATGTTTGGCAATAAGTGTTGAATACTATTCACGTATTCATACAACACGTTATCCACGTATTCGCGGAATTTTATTAAATTCTGTAATTCATGAGTATACCTACAATTTGTATAGAAAATAAAAAATTATCATATACAATTATAAAGTCACACAAAATAATTACTTAATTTTATTTATGGTCTCAGTACTAATTAGGGCTGCCAAACGTCCTCCTTTAGGAGGATTGTCCTCCAATCGGCCCATCAAAAAACAGTCCTCCCGTGGGTCTCAGGAGGACAATGTGATGTCCTCCCAGAGATAATTATCAAAATTATATAAATATTCATTAATTTTTAATTACTTTTCGAAATTCATAAATATAGCATGCGAAATTTGTAATCATTATTTAAACAATTTATGAAATATTTGTTAGGAGGACAACAAGTAGTGTATTGATCTGGAATTATAATTAAGCTTAAATTATAGTGTAGCTATTAGGAGTAAAAATATATAACAATATTAATAAATAAACATTTTAATAAACATTTTGTCCTCCCAATGTCCTCCTGGCCAGGCTAAATTTTGACTATTTGTCCTCCTAGGCCATGAAAATAGTTGGCAGCCCTAGTACTAATACGTGCTTGCTGTATTTTCATATCCATTGGCGCTTTATTAATATTTGCGTTTAATTCAAGCTTGCCAGTTTTATTGACTTTTTTATATCCTATTAGTAATAACTAAAATTAAATTTATATGAAATACAAAGCTTTAAATATACCTAGAAACTGTGAGGCAGGTAACTTGCTAATTGACAGGTCCCCAAATTGTACCGGGTGCTGTGGGTAAGGTTCCCGTTTGGGGTCGGGGCCCGGGATATCCAGTTGTTTTTTCATGTGATCAAACTGTTCCTGAAGGGACTCCTGTTGCAGATCTCGGTGCTCGCAGTCATCCAACCAGCTATTGGGAAAATAACCACCCAGGAACACTTTACGGGACTCGTCCCAGTTACACTCCCAACTCAGCTCAATAGCATTTGATGAGCTAACGGCGTAAATATTTAAATCATTTGGGAGTATTCTGAACATGGACCCTAATGATATATAGTAATTAGCTAGTTACTTTTTGTAGTTGCACAACAATGGTTTACTTACCCGACTCACGCGCCTCCAAATAAAATACTAGTTTTGAAAATCTATTACTTTGGCGCATATCCTTGAGTGCAAACACCAGGTCCTCCCCATAAATGTATCCCACTGGGAACGACACTACATCTAAAATAGTAATAAAATAAGTTTTAAAATTGTAGTTGAACATGTTAATATGTAAGCAAAATAAATATTACTAGGAATTGACTTTAATACCCAGAGCCGAGAGAGAGAGAGAGATTTAATTACAATTATAATTAGCAAATTTTTATACTCTTTCTCTCTCTCCCTCTCTCTGGGTCCGACTTGGTTTTAAAATCAATTTCATATTACTTTTATTAATTAAACTTACTAGGAGAACAATGGTCAACAAAATATACAAACAATGGGTACGTTAAGTTGCCTAAGCTGGCAATCGGGATTTTTTGGTTGGATATGAAAGAACATTCAATGCTGAGTCCGAATATATAATTTATATTGTCCTGTGACCTTCGACCGCAGTGACCACTTTTATAGAGAAAAGTTTTTAAGGAAATATTAACATGTAATATATTAAATCAATGTA